AGGAACAACTTAACATCAGGAACCTGTGAAGATGAGGAACATGTGAACTTGAGGAACAGGGGAATATGTGGAACACGGTAATGTTAGGAACTTGAGGAACATGTGAACATGAGGAACAGGTGAACTTGAAGAACAGGTGAATACATGGAACGTGAATATTAGGAACTTGAACATGTGAACATGAGGAATATGTGAAATTGAGGAACAGATGAATATGTGGAACGTGTGAATGTTAGAAACTTGAGAAACGTGAACATGAGGAACAAGTGAACTTGAGGAACAGTTGAATATGTGGAACATGTGAATGTTAGGAACTTGAGGAACATGTGAACTTGAGGAACAGGTGAATACTTGGAACATGTGAATGTTAGGAACTTGAGGAACATGTGAACATGAGGAACATTTAATTATGAGTAAAATGTGAACATGAAGAACACAAGGAACACGTGAAAATGAGAAACATGTGATTATAAGGAACATGTGATTATGAGGATCACGTGAACATGAAGAAAACATGATTATGAGTTGCATGTGAACAAGTGGAAAATGTGAACATGAGGAAAACAAGAACACGAGGAACATGTGATTATGAGGAAAATGTGAACATGAGGAACATGTGATTATGAGGAAAATGTGAACATGAGGAACAGGTGAATATGTGAAACGTGATTATGAGGAACATGTGAATATGATGAACATGATGAAAATGAACATGAGGAACATGTGAACATGAGGAACATCTGAACTTGAACAGGTGAATACATGGAACATGTGAATGTTAAGAACTTGAGGAACTTGTGTACATGATGAACACATGAACATGAGGAACATGTGAACACAAGGAACATGTGAACATGAAGGACACTTGAATTTTAGGAACATGAGCAACATGTGAACATGAGGAGTACATGAACATGAGGAACATGTGAACACAAGGAACAGGTGATTATGAGGAACATGATGAACATGTGAACATGTTGAACGCGATGAACACGTGAGCATGAGGAATGTGAACTTGAGGAAAACGTGAACATGAGTAACATTTAATTATGAGTAAAATGTGAACATGAACATCAGGAACAGGTAAAAATGAGGAACATGATGAATATTTAAACATGTTGAACGCGATGAACATGTGATCATGAGGAATGTGAACTTGAGGAAAACGTCAACATGTGAACATGAGTAACATTTAATTATGAGTAAAATGTGAACATGAAGAACACCAGGAACAGGTGAAAATGAGGAACATGTGATTCCGAGGAACAGGTGTCTATGATGAACATGTGAACATAAAGAAAACATAATCTTGAGGAACATGTGAACAGGAGGAACACGTGAACATGTGAAGTTGGGGAACGTGATTATGAGGGCATGTGAATGTTAGGAACATGAGCAACTTGTGAACATGAGTTGCATGTAAACATGAGAAGCGCGTTAATATGAGAACCATGTGAACATAAGGAACACGTGAACATTATGAACACGTGGACATGACGAACGTGATTATGAGGATCATGTAAACATGATGAACACAAGGAACATGTGAACTTGAGGAACACTTGAATTTTAGGAACAGGAGCAACATGTGAACATGAAGAACTGGAGGAACATGTGAACCTGAGGAACGTGATTATGAGAAACGGGAACATGATGAACACGTGAACATGATGAACACGTGAACATTATGAACATGGGAACATGCTGAACACATGAAAATTAGGTACATGCAAACATGAGGAACATGTGATTATGAGGAACACTTGAACATTATGAACATGAGGAACATGTGAACATCATGAACACTTGAACATTAGGAACATGTAAACATGAGGAACATGTGAACTAGGGGTGTACATCACCAGCTTTACCACGATACAATGTTATTGATAATGTTGATTGTATGACGATACGATTTTTCTCAATATCACAAAGTCTGTCACGATACAATTTCGATTCTATTCGATTCACAAGTCTGCGATCGATATATTGCGATATCAAATGCCCATCTCATTTACATATAAATAAATTTACAAAAACAATTCAAATATGATTTAACCATTTTATTACTTTTATTACAAGAACCTAGCATTAAAAAAAAACAAACACATTTTTTCTTCATTAATGAAAAAATAAAATAAATGATCTGTTCAGTATCGTCTCACATTTCTCATGTTTAAGTGCATTTTTTAAACCAGTTAACTTAAAAGTGCCCTGATTACCTTTCAGTTATAAAGAAACAAAAACAGATATTGAGCTTACATAACATGGCTATCAATGCCGTGTTTCTTCTTCAGGTGAACGGCAATTTGTTGTGTCTCCCGAGTATTTGAACTCACACTGGCACCTGTTGCATACGACATGAGTTTTGTCTGTTGAGCCGTCCTTCTGTTGGAATCCAAAATATTTCCACAGAGTTGATTTAAATCCAGCAGGAGAGTAAATTTCATTATCTGTGTTTTCTGCCTCATCTTCCATGTTGCTGAGGCAGCCGCAGAGCGCAGCCGCGCACGGAAATGGTGACACAGACGTGCCTTGGGAATTTCAAAATAAAAGCATATTTTAACGATGACGATATGAATCGATGTTTTAGTTTTGCCACGATATAATTGAATCATTAATCATTTGATTGATACATCAATTGTATTGTAATCGATGTAATGTTACACCCCTAATGGGAACATGAGGAACACGTGAACATCATGAACATAAGGAACACGTAGAGTGCGTTCAGTGTTTGTAAGCGCAGCCTCCTGCAGTGATCTTCAGTCATGTGACGTTTGCTGTAATAAACTTGACTCTGAAGGTTTCAGATTGCAGCAACAGAAACACTAACTTCCTTCTGATTGGTTCTGGTTCCAGGTACATCACCGTCCTCATGGCCCAGGCGAAGATCTATTGGAATCGGGAGAACTTCCAGATGGTGGAGAAGATCTTCCGTAAATCGGTGGAGTTCTGCAACAAGGACGACACCTGGAAACTGAACGTGGCCCACGTTCTCTTCATGCAGAACAAATACAAGGAGGCCATCGGGTTCTATGAGCCCATTGTCAAGAAGCACTATGATAATGTGAGTTTCTCAGGAAAAGCCATGTGTGCTGAGAGGTTCTGGGAGTTCTGGACCTGAGGAGAGAGTCTGAGCCTTGCCTTTGTGTCCAGGTGGAGCAGTGTAACATTCAGGACTGTCCCTGCAAGTGCAAAGCGTCGGTAAAATAAAGACCAGATCCTCTGACGTGTCTTCTCCTCTGCATGAAATCTGCTGCAGTTCCTTTGTTTGCAGTGAGGGTTCTGATGCTTCTGGGGTGAAACAAGGTGGACTTTTGTCCATGTTCTGACAAGCTGTTGATCACTCCGTGAAACAGAATCCACTTCATACACAGTCAGAACAAAGCTGAATTTTCACAGCAGTCTGTAATTATTCATGAAGGTCTGAAGTTATTCATGAAGGTCTGAAGCAACATGAAACAGCTCCAACTTGTTCCAACATATTTATCTAGAAGTCCTGAACAGCTGCCTGTTGGTGTCTTATTTCAGCCTTTAAAGCAGGTTCCTTATCAATAAATACATGTACTGTGTGTGTGTGTGTGTGTGTGTGTGTGTGGGTGTGTGCGTGTGTGTGCGTGCGCGTGCATGCCTTCTTGTAAACGTACTTTTTGGGGACTTTGCATTGACTTCCATTCATTTTCTATAGCTTAACCCTGACCCTTATCCTAAACCTTATGCCCCACTGAGACTTATCCTTGTGGGGACCTGGCTTTGGTTCCCATAAAGAGCAATTGGTTCCCACAATGCATGATTTTTTTGGAAAATTGGTACCTACAAGGTAACCTGAAACAAAAATGTGTGTGTGCGCTGCAGATCCTGAATGTTAGCGCTGTGGTCCTGGCCAACCTGTGCGTCTCCTACATCTTGACGAGTCAAAACGAGGAGGTAACACAAAGATCCTTTGTGATGAATATGCATGATGCCTTCAGGATCAGGACAGTTGAACTCTGACACCAGCAAACACTTTTTGTTATCATAAAGAAATGAGAGAAAATATCTAAATTTTGATTGTAAATCTTAGTTTGTAGGTATTTTATCCATGTATTTTTACGTGTCTTTAAATTTACTAGAACTTTTTTTTATTTGGACCTTTTTTTTCAACTTCCATTACAGCAGCAGAAAATTTGGTCGTGTCAAAGTGGTGAAATGACCGAATTTTTGAGTTATTTGGAGTTAAACGAGTCCTGAATTGTTCGTGAAACACCTGAACAGATTGATTGGAAGAGTGCTGTTTGCAGTGGGAACACAAGAGTTGGGTGTTTTTCACCGTCAGGGCTGCAAGAGTGGGCACAGTTCATTATTTTCTTTTGATAAACTGATTCTATGACATATTTTAAGCTGAAAACAACAACTCTTAAACAAAAAGAGACAATATTAATAAACTTTATTTCCTGTAATCCAGCTGGCAGCTCCCTCTCTCTCAGCTAACATCTGCTGTTCAAGTAATAATGATAAGTTAGGCTCATCAATCAGCCTTTTCTTCACGCTATCACACAGGCTCCGCCCCTCACTGTCCTGATGCTGATTGGACATAACTTTAGTTCCTCATGTGAAAGAATATAATCAATATAATAATAAATATAGAGCTGTTGTCTCTACAGGCTGAGGAACTGATGAGGAAGATTGAGAAGGAAGAGGAAGAGATCTCCTACAACGACCCGGACAAAAAGGTCTTCCATCTGTGCATCGTTAACCTGGTGATTGGGTGAGTCTAATTAACCTGGTGATTGACTGAGACTAATTAACCTGGTGA